TCTCGCTGTGTCTCTCTCTGTCAAATAAATAAATAAAATCTTTAAAAAAAAAAAAGAGGTAGGGTCTATGCGTGCCTCCCTCTATCGCTGGCTGACCAACTGAACGCATTGGGAGGGACACCGGGCCACTTCCTGGGCCAAGTCCTAAAGAAACTGGTGACTCTGCCCTCGGCTTCCTGGGACATCCACTCTGAAACCCAGTCGCCATGCTGTGAGGAGGCCCAGGTGACATGGAGAGTCCACACTGAGGGGTTCGGTCAAAAGGCAGCATCTACTGTCCCCATGTGAGAGATAACACAGCCCCCAGCTGTCAGCTCACCTCGGGACGAGCAGAGAAAATCTATCCCCACTCTGTCCTGGTGGCACTCCAGATTCTCAAACTCCAGGAGCGTGATAAAACGGTTGGTCTTTGCCACTAGGTCTTACTACTTGGCAGCAGGCCACGGGAACAGTGGTGCCGATAAAGGAGCCGAGGACTTGGCACCGAAGGGCCCTGCATTCACGACATAACTCGCCGTGCCATTCCCAGCTACGTGTCACTCACCAGCCTCAGACTCAGTCTCCTTCCCTGTAAAACGGATGTTAATGCTGGCTACCCCGTATGGCAACAATGTGTCAGACATGATCCCAAGCATTTTGGGCACCTTATTAGTTAACCTACAGCCCTGTACCAAATTATTCCAAAGCTTGATTGTCTAAAACAATAAACATGATCTCAGAGTTTCTGTGGATCATAAATTCGGGAGCAGCGTAACTGGGTGGTTCTGGCTCATGATTTCCCACGAGGGTGCCATCCAGATGTCAGTCAAGGTCGTGGAAATCCAAGGTTTGACCGGGGCTGGAGGATCATCTTTCAGGATGGCTCACTCGCATGCCTGGCAGGTTGGTGTTGGCCGTTGGCAAGAGGCCTCACTCAGTCCCTTGGCGTGGGGAGCCTCTCCATAGGCCCACTTGCATGTCCTCATGACCCAGTGGCTGGGTTTCCCCGGAGTGAGGGGTTCAAGACAGGAAGGCAGAAGCCACGCTGTCTTGGACGAGCTCGCTCAGAGGTCACACACCATCCTTTCTGCAATATCCCTCTGAGGACCCAGATCAGCCCTGCTCACCGGGGAAGGCGCCGTGTACACCAGTGTTAATGCCGAGCGGGGGCTTCACCAGCCTCCACTCTGGCTACCACACACACTCACGTGGACACACTTCTCCAAAGGTAAATACTCCTAGTAGATGCATCTTGGAGAGGAGGACACAGGCACAGAAATGGGAAGTCACTTGCTCAGAGTCACAGAATGGCAAGCGATGGGCGGGGAGGGATTCCAACTCAGGCAGTGAGACCCCAGAGGTGCGCTCTAAGCTACTCTGCTGGAAAGGCCCTCGGCTCCTTGGTGAGCCTGAAAGAATAGGGTGGATTTAGGAGCACTTTCCACTTTGGGAAGCAAACCAGCAGATATGTACAGGGTGGTGGGCTGGCTGGTGACTCTAAAAACCAGCAAGGCAAATCCAAATGGGGAAAGGATGGGACCCCAGGAGCTGGGGGATGGAGATGAGGTGATGGAACGGGAGGGTTTCACCCCAGGGTCTAGGAAGAGCCAGCCACTTGGGGCCAAACACGGAGACGGGCAGGGACAGGTTCGCCAGAGAATGCTTATGGGGGGGTTCGGGCACTCCCAACACATCACTCCCAGCAAAGGAGCTCCTGATGTCAAAAAAGTCTCCTTGGCATCACCCGACCCAGATGACGCTGCCTCACCCATTTGCTCAACAAAGGTTACTGAGCACTTATCCTATGAGCCAGGCACTAGACTGGACAGGAGGGACACAGCAATACCCAGGCAAGATCAAGTCTCTTTCTGCCTGGAGCTTGGAATCCAGCAAGGGAGACAGACAAGATACTGGCAAGGTCAGAAAAGCAATGAGAGCAATAACAGGAAGGCACAGGGATCTTGGTGTTCAGGGCAAGGGACCTGACCAGGGAGGGATAGGCTTCCTGCACTTAGCCAGATTGGGATAAGGGCGGGAGGACTTCCAAGGAAGGGAACAGCCACACAAAGGCCCCAAAGAGAGAGAGGTACTTTCCCCTGTTGAGAGGTTGGCGTAGATAAGATGGCAGGGAGAGCCCTGTGATCTCAGGGATCAGAGATGGAAGGGAGGAGCTAAAGGGGCATTAATATGGCTCCCAATAGGAGAGGAGAGTTTCCTGCAGAGGGATGGGCCCTACCCCCCACCCAAACCCAAGGCAGTAGGTGGAGAAGATAACAGGGGACCTCTCTGCTTACGCTTCTTGTTCCCTGCCCTTTGGGGAAAGACTTGGCTGGTGGTGTGAATGTGCTCATCCTTCTCAGATGCAGAGCCTGCGGGGCAGGGCCGGGGTTGGGGAAAGGCACCCAGAGTGGGACTGGTGCCCGATCTGGGCCTCCAGGTTTAGCAGGACGCCCCATCTCAGCTTAGAAGGGGTGCACCCCGAGGGTGGTCCAGCAGCGCTTCCCCACACAGGTGGGGTTGAGAGAAGCTTAATTCCAGAAGTAAGACATGAATAGGGAGAAGGGGGAGGAATAAAGAGGCCTCTGATTCCCTGGGTTTTTTCCAAGCTAAAGACAAAGGTGGGGCTGAGCCTCTGTGTCCGGTTTCCTGCTGGAAAATCTGTCTGGTTTCCTGCTGGAGCATAGAGGACCTAGGCCCAGAGTCCAGCCGATAATGCCCCCTCTCTTCACCTCCTCTCCATCCCATTGCCAAGGCCTAAGCAGGGCCAGCCTCTCTCCCCTGAACGGATGGGAAGAGCCTCTTCCCGGAGCTCCCTGCTCTTCCTCTCTTCCCTTTCCCCAGCTGCTTACACAGCAGGCTGGTTCTGTCACTCCTCTGCTGAAACCTTTCAGTGGTTACCAGAGCCCTCAGGTAAGGCCCAAGCTCCTGACCGTGTTCTCCAAGGCCCTATAGAGTGAATCCAACCAGGCCAGGGATCATGTCTGCTTGTTCGCCCGGGTCCCCAGAACCTGGCACAGTGAAAGCTTGCTGAAGGATGAATTGATGCCTGGCCTGGCTTTTGCCATCCTCTCTGGTGGCAGCTGCCTTCATATAGCCCCACGTCCTCTACACGTATGTGTTCAACTCCCAGAGGACCTCTGGTGCACCCAGATCTGTGAAGACGCTGGACATTCAGAGGAAAATCAGGTGTCACGTGCTCTTCCCCGAAGAAGCTCATGGAGGTAAGAAGGTTGGGAGCAAGCAAAAGTGATCTATGGGTTTTAGAAATCAGAAGAGTCATTGCCTCTGGACAATGGAATTGACTGAAAGTGGACACAAGGCAAGTTTCTGGGATCATTGAAATGTTCTCGGTCTTTATCTGCATTAATACACGTGTTTATTGATTGAAATGTATTGAGCTGGGGTGCCTGGGTGGCTCAGTCAGTTAGACATCTGACTTCAGCTCAGGTCATGGGCTTGGGGTCTTGGGATTGGGCCCTGCATCAGGGCTTCATGCTCAGTGGGGAGTCTGCTTGTCCCTCATGCTCTCTCTCTCTCTCTTAAATAAACAAAAATCTTTTTTTTTTAAGATTTTATTTATTTATTTGACAGAGAGAGACACAGGGAGAGAGGGAACACAAGCAGGGGGAGTGGGAGAGGGAGAAGCAGGCTTTCCGCCGAGCAGGGAGCCCGATGCGGGGCTCGATCCCAGGACACTGGGATCATGACCTGAGCCGAAAGCAGATGCTTAACAACTGAGCCACCCAGGTGCCCCTAAATAAACAAAAATCTTAAAAAAAAAAAAAAAAGAAATGCATTGAGCTATACAGTTAAGTCTGGGCACTTTACTGAATGTAAGTTATACCTCAATAAAGTACTATCAGCATACACAGTATACCGATGTTCATATGAATATAACAATGACAAAAAACCCTGAGTATGGATTAAACAGCACATCAGACACAACCAAAGAGAGAATCCATGAACTGGAACACAGACCTAAGGAGATTACCTGGATTGCATCACAGTAACACAAAGATTGAAAGATATAGAAGAGAGTTTAAACGACATGAAGAACAGAGTGAAAAGGTCTAGCATACTTCTGATCGGAGTCCCCAAAGGGGAGAACCAAAGAATGGAGGCAACACAATATTTGAGGAGATACTAGCTGAGAATTTTCCAAAACCGATGAAAGATATGAATTCATAGATACAGGAAATACAACACACTAATCAGAATGAGTAAAAAAGAATCCATACCTAGATATTTTGTGATAGAACTACAAAATGCCAATGATGTCTTAAAAACAGGGAGAAAGGACAGATCACCAACAGAGGAATGACAATTAGACTGAGCAGACTTCTTCACAAACAATATGCACTGTACCTGTTACATGCCTACACTGTTCCAGGTACTAAGAACACAAGGATGAGGGGTGCCTGGGTGGCTCAGTTGGTTAAGCATCTGCCTTTGGCTCAGGTCATGATCCTGTGGTCCTGGGATTGAGCCCCGCGTCCGGCTCCCTGCTGATGGGGAGCCTGCTTCTCCCTCTCCTGCTCCCCCTGCTTGTGCTCTCTCTCTCTCTAGTAAATAAATAAAATCTAAAAAAAAAAAAAGAGAAAAGAACACAAGGATGAACAGGACAGATCCAGCCCCTACTGTGTGGATCCCACAGTATATCAGGGACATCAGATGTGGAGGGAGCAATTATAGTGTGATGAGCTGGCCTCATTGGAGGGCAAGAAAAGGCAAGGAAAGCAAACAGGTTGAACTGTGAACTATGGATAATTTCCCACCAGTGCTGGAATATCCCGTGTGCTTACCCAGATGGGGTAGATGTTTCCCTCCAAGGGACTCTGGGGATAGCTCACACATCCTGCCTCAGAACAGAAGGAGACAGGCCAGATGTCCTGAGACTTGTGACTTCCTCCCTGGGACCCCTGAGGGAAAGGAAGAGGAGGGATGCTCCTCCTCAGAGCCTTCTCCGAGGTTCTAGACTTTGTCCTGCGGCCACCATTCAGGTAGCCAGTGCACAGAGACTACATGGGGGAAGGAGGGTTGAGCCAGAATGAGGCCAGTTAAATGCCAGTGATGGGGAGGGGTGCCCTGAAGCATGGGGTGCTGCCCTTGACCACGGAGACCAGGTACCAAGCTGAGATGGAGGTCAGGAGCCCACCCACACACAAGACCTCCAACATGTTCTACCCTGGGGAGCTCCCAAAAGGTCCCTTTCGAGGGCAGGACATTGGACCGACGTTCAGAACTGGGACAGCGACAATGGCTCCGATCTTAGACTCTGTGGAGGCTGGGGGCTGACTTCCTGCACCAGCAATGGTTCCTGTCTGCCCCATGCCACCCTGCCTTCCTCCATATGGGGGCTAGGGACGCTCTCTCCCCTGCTAGGGGGCAGGGACGAGGTCCTGTTTAGCCTTATATTCCCAGGACATGCGCAACATTTCTCCATCTGGCGCTTATTCGTGTAGGGGGTGGGGCTCTGGCCGGGAGAGGTGAAAGATTTTGTGGGGGACAGGACCCCCAGGAGGAAGTCTGGGAGGGGTGAAAAGGTCTGTGAAAGAGGCGGGAAAGAGGGCGTGGAGGAGGAGAGTGGGAAAAAGCCTGGGGAAGGGTTTCTCGGGGTCTGCCGGGCAGAGGAGGGCCCGCCGGCCGCGGTGGGGCCGCCCCCGCAGGCCGTCCCGG